TATACCCGATGGAACATAATCAGATAATTCCATTGAATTTGCAGTTGCATACCAACCTAAGAAAATTTTATCATTAAATTAATGAAGTGAAGAAGAAAAAAAAAAACAAAACAACAAACCAAAACGAACTTGAGAAGCACTACGACCACTAGTACCAAATCTTAATTCACATTTTTGTTCATCTATAAAAATATCCATAAAAAAAAAATTAAAAAAAAACTATGATCAGTATACCAAATGGAAAATATTCTACATTGATTGTCTAGAAAAATATTAAAAAAAAAACGAAATTTGAAATTTAGTTATTTAACACAATAAACCTTACACAAGTCAATTTATAAATTGCTGGTGGTATCCATTGAATATGTCCATCTGAAGAAATGACCGTATTCGATTTATAACTTACTTCATAATTACCTTAAATTTATTCTATTAAATATCAAGGCAAAAAAAAGAAAAAATTTTTTTGTAATATTTTACCATCGCCATTACTAAACAAAAAAAACAAAAATTAAAATTTACGAAATACAAAAACATATATGTAAATTCTTACTTAAACAAAACTAAATCTGGTGTCCAAACTTGTCCTGGTGGTACACGAATACTATCAAGACGACCTAAATATTTAATAGATTAATATCTAATTCTTTTATTTTTTATTTTTTTTTATAGATTTGAACAAACCAAATCGATCAGGATTCCATTTCATTTGATAATCATACCAACGAAGTTGTAACCATACATTAACTTTAACAATTTGTTCTTTTTCATAAACATTTATTATTTGTGCTAATGTTAAACCAAAATAAACATCTAATGGTTCACTTGAATTATAAATAGGTGTTATAAGTGGATTATATTGAGATTGTCTACCAAATAAAATATTCATTAAATTTTCTTCTTGTATATTCACTCCTGTATATAGATAAATAAATAAAGAAGAAGAAAAATAAAAAACAAACATTTATTATCAATATTTATTAATAGAATTATTATTCTTTTACCATTTATTTTAATAATTATACAATTAAATATGAAAAAATATATAAGATAAAACATTATTTAATTGATAGTTAAAAATACGAACAAAGATGAATATTTAATAGTTGAAAATGTAATAAGGAAATCGAGAAAATGAATAGGTCGGTTTTCTTTTCTTTTTTTTTTTTTTTTTTTTTCTGCTATTCCTTCCGTCTCAATGATAATTTTACGTGACATGATGCAAAAAAAATTTCATAGTCTACTTCCTTATCAATAGTCGTTTGAATCAGCATGCGCGACAACTTTATTATTGTTATCATTGTGTCATTCACGTACATATATATTGATCATTTAAATAATAACAACGATTGACAAGAAGAAAAAGAAAATAATAGAAGGACGTTCGCTTGACAGAAAACTTCTGAATACAAGTATCTCGATATTTGTAATTGTCTATTTTGTGGGACGAGAAGAAACATTAGCCTTAATATTTGCATGATTGAAGTGAGCGCAAAAAATTATGGTAATATGAAGACGACGACTAACCCGATTAGAAGGCAATTAATAAGAGATAACAAGACAGAGAGAGAGAGAGAAAAGAGCATTTGCAATCAGTCAATTCATTATGTAAAAACACAAATTTTTATATCGTTCACTATATTCAATAAAAAAAAAAACTTGTAAGTGATTGATTTTTGTTTATTTCCCGGAAAAGAAAAACAAATATTATATAAGCACCAAAAAAAACAAAAAAAAAGAAACAATTAATTAAGTAGTACCAAATGTAGGATCCCAATTTTTTAATATAGCAGTTTGATCGACTACATTTAAAATATATGGTGCATTAAATAATATAGATAATGTACCAAATGTTGTAACTGCAAAAAATATATATAATTGTAATCGATCGATCACAGTTGCAATATATTTCCAATCATCACGAATCTAAAATATGACACAAAAAAAAAGAAACAAACAGTAATAATAAATTTGATTTCATTATGATATATTACTTCTTCATAATGAGTTGCTGATCTCATTTGATTTGCAATAAAACTAAGATCTTCAACAGCTTCATAAACTTCTTTTGTTAGAAAAAAATCCATTTGATTTTCTTCTTCATTATTATTATCTGTTATTGTTAATGATTGTTGACTATTTGTAATTGGTGTTGGTATTGATATAACACGTGATGCACGTATTGAATTCATTATTGTTGGTTCAATCATTTCATCATCATTATCACGTTCATATTTATGTGGTCGTTCCATACGTAGTATTCGTGGTAATATATCAATAAAAAGACGTTTCATCCAATAGGGCATTTTATTTGTACGTGGTGTTCGATAATTATAATTAATAATAAGAACTGTACAAAAAATTGTTATTATATTCATAATAAATGTAAATAAAAGATATTTAGCTATTAATGGTATAACTGTTGATGTTGGTGGTAAAATTTTTGATATAAGTAATAAAAAAACTACTAATGCTAATAGAATTGATATAGATAATGTCATTTTTTCACCTGCATCAGTTGGTAAATAAAAAACAAATATTGATAAAAATGATATAAGCATCTTAGAAAAATAAAAAAAAATTTCAAATTAAATATAATAAGATACAAGTCAATGGTTTTTTCTTTTTTACCGTTGGGATGATTAAATTAACTGTATAAAAAAGTGTTTTACGTCTTATAACAAGTTTACATACAAATTCAACACGATCATGTCTATAACTTTTTTCATATATACGATTAGCTTCATCTGATGGATGTTGAATTGACATAGGTCCATCTAAAAGATCCCATGAACCACTAACAACATAATCTTTTATTGTAACATTTCGTTCTTTTTCATCATAATATGTAAAATTTAATTGATGTTGATTATATGTCCAAGAACCAAAACGTAATTCACATATTTGTTGATCTCAAAAAATAAAAAAATAAAAATATAGAACAAAGAAAATTCTTAATTAAATTTATTAATACCAAAAGGAAAAAATTTAACATCAATATAACAACTTGATTTATATATAGCAGGTGGTACCCAATTCATATCACCATTATAATAAACAACAACATGAGATTTAAATGATGCTTCATATCTTCCATCAGCATTATTAAATAAAACAATCTAAAATACAAATAAATTTGTTTTTTTTTGTTTGAATATTAATATATATAACTAACATCTGGAGTCCAAACTTGATTTGGTGGTACACGTATTGAATGAATTCCACCATATTTTTCTCGTTTCCATTGCATTTGATAATCATGCCATTTCTAGAAATAAATGAAATTGAAAAAAGAAAAATATTTATATTAAATTTCATTTCTTTTTTTTTGTTTTTGTTTTAGTTTTAACATACAACTTGTAACCAAACATTTGTTTTAAGTACTTGTTCTTTTTCAACTACACTAATTAATTGTAATAAAGCAATACTAAATGAAACAGTTATTGTATCTTCTAATTTTCGTACAGGTCGTATTAATGGATTATAATTTTGAAATAATTCTTTATATAATTGTTCTTCATGATAAGAACTTTTAACAACTATGATTATATTAGAACAAAAAAAAAAAACATTATATGTTAATATTTAGAAAAAAAATAAAAATACAATCTACCGTCATTTATTAAGAATATTATACCAAATTGAATGAAAACTAGTCCGAATTTCATTGACATATGATAATAAGAATAGATCAAATCAAAATATTAATAGACTTGAATGAAGAAGATTTTCTTTTTATTTTTTTTATGATAAGAATTATTAGTTCAATAAAATACTATATTGAGAATATTCTAAGTGAATGTAAATGAATGATTGACTTGCAAAAAACGCAATAGAAAGATGATGAATGAATAGAAACAAAACAAAACAAAAAAAAAAAAAAAAAAGAAGAAGACTTGTTTTGATAAAAATAAAAGAAAATACTAGCGAGAAAAAAAAAAGACAGAAAGAGAGCTTTAGACTAAATAATGTCATCAATGTTATTCTTAGTCTTTCTCTCGTTCTCTTATTGCTACTATATTCTCAACAGACATTAGGAAAAAGGATAATAAAAGAGATATTCTGACAATCAAAGTGAACCAAAAACTTTTTTCTCCCCAAGGGCATCTAAATATCAATAGTTGATTTTGTCTAATAAAAACTAGTCACATAGATACATAATATAAATTATTTGATAAAAAAAAAAAATTATTAGTCAAGGTAAATGACTTTTGTTTTTCACAGATCATATCATTATCTGTTTCTTTTTTTTTTTTTTTTTTTTCAACTATTGAATTTTCTATGAAGAGAATAGACTAATTTCAATTTTCTATAATATAAAGAGAGAACAGTTTTTCTTCTTCTTCTTCTTCTTACAACCGCAATAAACCATTAATAAAGCCGAACGCCTTGATTTAATCTATTCCGATCATATACGCATGCATACTCTCGTTTAACAATGAGCGGAAATCATTCGTCTCGTTTCTAATATTATTATAACTATAAGAATGTATGTATTATATTATTCGGTAAAATCCTACATAGATATAAATGATGATTATTAAGACAAATCATAGAAGAAGAAGAAGAAAAAAAAATTCTATTACGTTTCACCTTTGACAGTTCGAATCTAATTAGTTCCAATTGATGATACTCTAATATTATATATATATTGAAAGTTTTTTTTTTTCTTTTTTGTTATACTGACTATGATTAAGATTAACATTAGTATTAACCAGCAGGATTCTTATTTGACTTCTCTCTCGAACTATATAAAATAACAAGAATAATTTCTTTTCATAGAGTTTATTTATCGTTATATCATTATTATTTCTGTCTATAGATACAATTATCCAATTATAACATGCGTCATGAGATAAGCATATTTTTTTTTAGTGACAATCATATGTATGTTTTTCTTACGGGTTTTTTAAGTTAATTTAATCTATTCATTATATATATTAGAAATTTTTTTGTTTGGGATTTTAGATTATATTTAATAATCATTTCCATGTATGAAGATGAGTATTATCATTCTAGAAATATTTTTTATTTATTTATGTTTTTTTAATAGTAAGTAGAAAATAAAAAAAAAAAAAATTTCTTATTTTATAAATATATATAGTTACATTTGCTAATCCTGAAGCAAAACGTTTATATGAAGAATTAATTAAAGTACGTTCATATAATAAATTAATTCGACCAATTAAAAATAATAGTGAAAAATTAACTGTTTATTTGGGTCTTCGATTAACACAATTACTTGATGTTGTATGTAGAATATGTTTTTTTTTCGTTTTGTTTAATTAAATAAAGTTTTTTTTTTGTAAGGATGAAAAAAATCAAATTATGACATCAAATGTTTGGTTAAAACAGGTATAAATATTAAATATATATCTAAAAAAAATAACAATATTAAATTATTCATACATAGGAATGGTATGATGATAAACTTCGATGGGATCCAAGTAAATATGGAGGTGTCGACGTACTATACATTCCAAGCCAACAAATCTGGCTTCCTGATATTGTGTTATATAATAAGTAATTATATATATATATATGTTGTTTGAATAGTTAAGAATTATTTTCAATTCACGGCCATTGAATATGATTTCTATCATATGTATTCATAATAAAAGAATATAGTTACAACTAACTATTGTTTTGTTTTCTTTTTAGATAAATTTTTTGAAATTAATTAATATATTACTTTTTGTATTATGATTATTGTATATTTTTAAAATAAATTCTTTAGTTTCTCTTATTAATATCAGATAAATTAATTTTTGAATTTTCATAGAAATCTTTTTGCTTGATATTTTAATTAATTCCTCAAGGATATAACAGTATTATGATAAAAATTATCATAAAAATCTAATAAATCAGAATCAATAAGCTAGAAGGATGAATTCCTTTTTTTTTCCTGATTACTTATAGTAGATTATAATGTACATAATGCATCTCTAATGATAAGTCAAAACAATAAAGTAACATCTGGAATATTCTTTTTTACTAATTTTTATTAATATAGAAACCAGGTTTTTCTTTTCTCTTTTGCTTTCTTTTTTTGTTTTGATTTATAGAAAAAAAAAAAAAGATGGATGAAATGTTTTTTTTATATTCTAGTGCAGATGGAAATTATGAAGTAACTTTAATGACGAAAGCAACTGTTTATTATGATGGTCGTGTTATTTGGGAAGTAAGCGAATGAATAAGAAGAGAATCAAAAAAAAAAAGAGTATTATATGATATTTATATTTCTTAGCCACCAGCAATATACAAATCAAGTTGTACAATCAATGTTGAATTTTTTCCATTTGGTTAGTTGAAAGATTTCTTAATGTCAAACTCAATAATATAAAAACATATTGAGTGTTAAGGTCAATAAGTTTAGTTCTAGTTCAAATCTGAAGTGATCTATTCAAATAGTTCTTTTGATAAGAACTGAGCGTTTTTTTTTTTGAGAAAGACACTTCCGGATGTAAAATGCTTTTGTTTTGTTCTGGAAATGGCATTTCCGAGTATACTAATCTGTATTCTGTTTTGAGAATGGTACTTCCGGACATAAAAATGTTTGTTCTGTTACTGAAATATTTTTTTCTCAAGATAGAATAATTCTAAGTTTTCTATTAGAAGATGAAAAGTTCGAAATTTCAATAAAAATTTTATTGATCTTAATTACAAATTCTTAGAATAAGTAAATCGTATTTGAAAGGTCATTTTTCTATTCGAATAATTTATATAAATTAATTACTTTTTTTTTTCTTTATTCAAATCTATTATTTATCAATTCAAATATTTTTCAAACCATACCTAACCTATTTGAATATAGTTGATATTCATATCCGTCTCATGTTTTCCAATATAAGAATGTTAATGATTATCGTATTGATTAATTATTTTGATCAAATCTTATAAAATATGTTAAAAGAGAATTTTATCTCTGTTGTTATGACCAAAATTTTCTAAATTTAATACTGAAAAGTTTGCATAACTCTTACTATTTGATCTATTCTGTAGAAAGATTTTAATGTACTTTTGTAATCAAATTTTTATTTATTATTAATTTGAAACAAAAAAAAAAAAAAAAAGGAACTTATTATTTAAAAGATATTCAACGTTGTCAAATGAAATTTGGTTCATGGACATATAATGGTGAACAAGTTGATCTTGTTCATATAAATCAAACAAATGGTTCAACAACTATTTATGGAAATAATAGTAAAAAATAAAATTCATTAATTATATCTTTTTTTTTTTTTAATTTATTCTAGGTGTACAATATGCTATTGATTTAACAGATTTTTATCGTTCAGTTGAATGGGATATAATGGAAGTTCCAGCACAAAGAAATGTACGAAAATATACATGTTGTCCACAAACATATACTGATATAACATTCTTTATAACAATACGTCGTAAAACATTATTTTATACTGTTAATTTAATAATACCATGTGTTGGTATATCATTTTTAACTGTATTAACATTTTATTTACCATCAGATTCTGGTGAAAAAGTGGCACTTTGTATATCAATATTATTATCATTAACTGTATTTTTTTTATTATTAGCTGAACTTATACCACCAACATCACTTGTTGTACCATTAATTGGTAAATATCTTTTATTTACAATGATATTAGTAACATTATCTATTGTTGTTACTGTTACTGTACTTAATATACATTTTCGTTCACCATTAACACATCAAATGCCACCATGGGTACGACGAGTTTTTTTACAAGTTTTACCTAAATTATTATGGATGCGTAGACCAAAAACAATTGTTCCATTACAATATCAACAACAATCAACATATTATACAAATCATATAAAAAAACATTCGACAACAAAATTTCTTGTACCATTACTTCATACAAAAACATATAATAAAAATCAATTTAATAAACATTTAATTAATAATAATGATAATAATTTTGATCAAGATATAATTGAAAATTTTGATAATGAAAATGATTTAAAACAATCTGAAGAAATAAATCAATCATCATCATCACTTTATCCAAATGAAATAAAAAAAGCATTTGATGGTTTAAAATGTATTGCAGCACATATGAGACAAGAAGATGAAGAGAAAAAAGTAAAAATTTTAAAAATAATCAAAAAAATATCAATCATTATTTTTAAATATTCATAGAAATAAAAAGAATATTTCTGCCTCTTTTTCTTTTTGATATAGAAAGTAGTTAGTATGTTATAACTTATTCAGGATTATTCTATTGTTGATGATGTCGGTTTTAGTCCGGACATTTACTACTAATGTTTAACTTTCGATTAAAATTCAAAAATAATTTAATAATTTTTGTTAATAGATAAAAGAAGAATGGAAATATGTAGCATTAGTAATCGATCGTCTTTTTCTTTATATATTTACAACAGCTTGTATTGCTGGTACATGTGGAATTATTTTACAAGGTATAGAATTATCATATTTATTATATTTTCCTTTTTTTTTGTATGAATTATTGATGAATAATTTTTTTCTTTCTAGCACCATCAATTTATGACAATAGAAAACCAATTGATATTCTCAAATCTAATCGTTTTTAAAAAACAAAAAAAATTATTAGATCATTTTGTTTGTTTGTTTTTTTGTTCATGAATAAGAAAAATGTCGTACATAAATATATACATAGAAAATTAATAAACTAAAAAAAAAAAAACTAGTGTCATTTATTGAATATGACATTTTCTATATTGTTTGAATTCATTGAAGATATAATTGTCCTTATTTGTATAATTATTTATTTTGAATTTCGAAAATATTGACATTTAAATATAATTTTGCAATATTTATTTGATATGTCAACAACAAAAAATAAGTTTTTCTCTCTCTCTCATGTATTGATTAAATTTTCTTTTTCATTTCGATTAAACTATTGACGTGGCAAGTCAAGGACATTATTTTATCATAGTTATACATCTGATGCCATATTCTGTTGATTTACAAAACGATATGCAAGATCAACAAATTGAATGAAACACTACATACCAATAAAAAAAAAGGAAAAATCATGATGAAACAAATCAATCTTACTTTAATGATAATAATGATAAAGATTTTAATAATAAATACTGCACGTATACCAATTGCAGGTATTTATCATATTACTTTTTTTTGTTGTTTAATTATTTAAAGATATTTCTTTTAAGGATATTTTAATCCATTTGTTGAAGAAGATCAATCTCCAATAGATGATAATATTTCAAAAAATGAATCACATGCACTTGTTAATATGCCTTCTCTTGATTCAATTCATGATCATGTTCATCATTCCATAGAAACGAATGAAACAATTTCTAATATAAATGATACACAATTAGAAAAAGCTGGTCCATCATTAGATATGATTGATTCACATCCACATTCACATGAAGATAATAAGACATCTATTATTGAAACTGCAAAACGTTTATTAATACAACCATCAATTGATTTTCTTGATGCACAATTACATGGTGGAGAAACTCATATTCATGATAAAAATCAAACTAATAAAGAAGCAGCTGATTTAAATGATTATCATCGTTGGTTAAACGAACAAAATGATACAAATCAATTAAATCGTTTTTTATTATTACAAAAAGAAGTTGATAAATTTAAATTTGTTGATACACAAAATTTACATGATAAACTTAATCGAACAATTCAAGAATTACAATCAACTATTAAAGCAAGACAACGAACAAAACATGACTTGTAGTTCATTATGATTGATAAGACAAGAAACAAAAAAAAAACAAAAAAACATTTATCTATTTGTTAAGTTAATATTACTAAAAAAAATATAAGCAAGATTTTTAATAAACCAGCAAAGAAAAACAATTAATATTCAAGCTATTGAAGTACACTTGGAAGATAATTGTATTGAGTAGTATAACAATCAATATCACGAGTTTTTATATGTCGTTGTTTAATAACTGTTGTAATTGAATTTTCAATTTTCTTCTCTATAGCATCTAAATAACGAAAAAGAAAAAAACGAGATTTCAAACAAAGGATAATTATATACAAAAATCACGATATTGAAATAAATTGATACTACAATAAGAGCATTGCAGTTAAATTATCAATATTTAGACCGGCACTAGTTAAAAATAGTTTTCATGTATCCTAAATTCAAAATAATTCTTGATTTAAAAAAGAAACAGTTATTCTATATCGAATTATTATTGACAATAGAATGAAATTACGAAGTAGAGCATTGCTGTAATCAATTGTGTACACATTCGACCTTCATAATTTGCATGTTTCACAGAACTATGCCGGAAAAAAAACGATGATTTGACCTTCATGGTTTACCCGAGATAATTAGAAGTGGTGAACTAGTTTTCACGTAAACTCTGATGTTAATTGAAATCTCATTGCCGAAATTTCAGATTACTTCGAACCGAATTTAAGTAGCGCTTTGTGAGTTTTTTTTTGTCTTTTATTTAGCTAAATATAAACGCTCTTCTACTGTCTTATTTCACACCCTCGAAGAAGGTAAAAGTTCTTTTAACAGTGCGAATTTTTAAAGAATCTTTTTCCGTACGAAACTCTTACATTTGAAATCAAGGCAGATTATATCTCTTTAACTTCAATATTTTTGTTATGCTCTAAATAATATGAATAAGAAGAGCTTATTGTAGGCCTAGCCTCAGAGGAGACGTGTGAATCCATGAATACTGCATCCCAAACAGTTGCTTCCGCGACATTTGCTCTCCGATGACAGCTGTTTCCCAAAGATTGGCTTTCGAGTTTCACTTATTATGGAGCTACATCTTTCTCATTGATAAGCTATAGATAATTTTAAGGAATTTAGAAACTATGAAGTGAAGAGAATAAGATTATTATTAATCCATGCAGCATCTGAAGATGCTGAGAAATGATAACGTAATGTTAAAATTATAGTTAGTTTTACTGAATTATCATTACAGTTGGAGGAAGTAGAAGTTAACTAATTAGTTATAGTGTAAAAATATAGAACCAAATAAGTAGTGTAAACAAAATATGAAAAAGAAAAAATATAGTTATTCTATATCTTATAATTAGGTGATGGTTAATTTCGTTATTTTAGTTGTTCTGTGTCCTTCAGTGCAATTCTACTTTATAGTTCTACTTCTTTCAACTATGATGATAACTTAGTAAAACTAGCTATAGTTTTAAAACTACGTCGTAAATATCCTAGCATCTTCAAATCCTAAATGGATTTATAATAATCTTATTCTCTTCTTCATTTCATAGTTTCTAAGTCCCTAAAAATTATCTATCACTTATCAATGAGAAAGACATAGCTCAAGATTATGTGAAACTAGAAAACAAATCTTCAGGAAGCAACTGTCCTTGGGGAACAAAATATCTAGAGTGCACTATTCATGTTACCTTGATTTATATGCCACTTAAGGTTGTTTATATAAATCAATGCAGCATAACATCTATATCAGGTAAATAGTTTTTTTTCTCATGTATGCATTCCTCTTCACATGTATTTTCGTTCTTTCGATGTTTTCTCTTTTTTTTTGTTTCTTTTTACTTTTCGTGTTGTTAGGATGAAAAAAATATACACTGATATTTGTATACACAAATGCATTATACTAAATATTCGAAATTTTTCTCTAATGAGTAAACAAAACAATAGTTGTCTGATCTCATAGTTATATGAGAAATGCTAGCAGTGCGTTGTTTAACATCAGATGTCTTCACTATCATGACCCGTTTGATTGGCTGTATAAGAAATTTTTCATTCAAACGAATCGGTCGATGGATCTCATACTGCTGGTAATTGTTCTTGGAAAGAGATATGAAAACATGTGGAACATTATAGCAATTGTCATAATCAGATGTGAAGTGAATACACTGTTTTGTTGTTTGTTAGAATGTTGCCAGTCGATCTTGAATCGCTAGCCAGACGATTACTTTCAAACCAGAGATGTCCATCGCGGCGCGACCGCTGCCGCTGCCGCTGTGGCGGTGGCGGCGCGGTAGCGGTTGTTTTTTTCAAATAACCATCGCGGTGCGGCGTGGCAGCGGTCGTTTTTTAAACTAACTATCGCGGCAGCGGCGCGGTAGCGGTAGGTTTTTTTGGAGAACAATGCAAAAATGCATGAATTCGAACAGAATTTCAATGTTTGCAAGTGCAAAACTATGAGATTCAACGAATATTATCGATTGGTAACAACACCTCTAGTCCTGAACAGTCACAGATCGTAAAATTCACAACATTATTCTAATAATCATCGCGGCAGCGGCGCGGTCGCGGCATGGTTATTTTTGGTGACGTCGCGGCAGCGTCGCGGTAGGTTTTCTGTTTTTATCACCGCGGTGCGGTAGCGGCGCGTTAGCTTTTTTCTTTTATCGTCGCGGCGCGGCAGCGGTCAGTTTTCAACCGCGATGGACATCTCTGTTTCAAACATAACGTGTCCAGATAGAAAATGTGAAACACCCACACCATCACGTAATTCGACTTACATCAAGTAATATATGAACGACAGAGTCTCTCCCATTTCTTTTTCTACGGTAAGAATAAAAAAAAGATATTATTATTCAGATGTATGCTTTATGTCTTTGCAAATACGGAAGTTTATCGAGCAAAAAAAGTGTTCGATTACGTTTGCATTGATTCATGGCGATGTGATTATATTGGACTGCTTCTCAAAATGCAAATATCAAAGGCAAAAGCACACACTATATGAGATTCGGCGTTAAGACAGTTGTACGGCTTGTCCACGTAACGCGACACTTCGCTGATCAAGTTTTGAAAAAAGTTTTTTTCGAATTGGACAGATCTCAGTGGGGTACTAGATGCAATTTTTTACGCTGATTACGAATTTGGTATTAATTTTGTATAAAAATCAGATTTTGATATCGAAAACTGGATTTTAAAGTTTTCAGAAACCGTATTTTGGATTTTTTGACCAAGAAAGTTTTTCAACAAAGGTCAAGAGACATACCATTCGATGCAGAATTAAATTCTCTACAAAATGGTCTATTTAGTTTTGACTTTGGCAGCTTAGAACAAATTGGAGACTTCGATACAATTCCCAACTTTCTGCTCAGTTTATGAGCTCTCAGATCGATGTATCAATCTCATTTTTGCATAGGGGATTGTCTACATAGAAAACAGTAACACTTATAAAAATCAAGTCATTCTGAGTACATTAAGTGCCTCAAAATTGGTCAACAAAAAACTGTGTAACAGCGTTACGAAAAACGTAACAGCGTTACGTTTGTTTTTTGCATTTTTTATCTGAGCAAAAATATTTTAGAGAAAATTTCTTTTACTGCCTGAAAGCCTATTCAATGCTCTACAAAAATGACTCTCGGAGCATTACATTTGAAGAAATGGTTTCGCAAGAATTTAGAGTTTTCTTGGTGGCATTGGAAAAAAGGGTCCTTTTATGTAACAGCGTTACGCCATGATAAAACCTTTCTAGATGCCTGAGACTTCAGTCAAAAAAGGCCATTTATATACGATAAATAAAGTTCGATAAGCTGCGTCGAATGACGTTTGAACGAACTTCCTAGCTCTTAAACTTTTCGAGATAGTTGAAGAAGAATGTGTCAAAAA